AATAGTTAACATCTTGTTTGGAAAATTCGTTCAAATGATTTGCTTTGTTTTGAATCTTTTGATGCATGTGTAAGCAATATCCTGAGAATGTTTCCCCCACCATTATATCAATCTCCTTCAAAGATGTAACAAACCTTTTCTCTCAATCTCTCAAAACTGGGTGCATATCCATTCCCTTAGAAATATGCAGAAAGCAGCCTCTTTCCAAAAGATATAGCAAGTGTTTCGAAGGGTTGTATCTGATATTAAAACCATTTGTAAGGTGGTTTTAACTGCCACTAATCACAACTCTTCAAAATGAAATTATCCATTTAACAACATTTGGAGATGTCCGAAGCATGTCTAAGTAGCAATTATTTATTTTGCCCAAAGTTTCGACATCTAGGACTTGACTCCTCTCTTCAATATATTCTCTCTCCATTTTTAGTAGTGCGAATCTAGATGTATAACAATGTCTTCATTTATTAACAAAAATTAGAATTCGTCAAACTTAAAATGATCAGCTTGAAACGAAGACATGTATCATGCATCTAAACGTGCATTATGAAAAATAGAGTGAGAATTCATGAGGGAGAGGAGCCAAATCCCACATCCAAAGTATGTTCTGGCTTATGGTTCGGACAGTCAAACATCTAGTTGACTTCCTGGCAAAATATATTTGCAAGCTACTTTAAACAATATTTGATTGATGTTGAGAAGAATGAACGAAGAAAGAAGTGTAACAAATAAAAAGTGATAATAATTTGATTAGTTCCATACGATAAACCGTGTGATGCAGGTTTTGCTAGAAACAATGTCAGGAAATTCTGATGAGTCCACAATTTCCACGGTTATGGATATCGAACCGGCTCGTTTTGCTAATTTTGACCCATCAAGCATCACTACACTGGTTAGAACAAGAAACAGGAGGTTGCTACAAGATCTTGGAGGGGTAGATGGAATAATTAAAGCCCTGGAAACAGATACAGAAAATGGTATTCGTGGCGACAGCAGAGATATTGATGCCCGAAGAAATATCTTCAGCTCCAATTCGAATCAGCTTCAGGAAAGAAATCTTGTCAAGAGCTTCTGTGTTTGTGCAGTAAAAGCAATCAAAGACCCCTTGATCATCATCGTAGTAGTTTTTACGGTCCTTTCTCTTGGTTTTGGCATAAAAAAAGATGGTCTAGAATGGATATGGCCAGAAGGGGTGATCAAACTCCTGGCTATTTTCACAGTTTTGATTGTGTCAGCTGGAACTAATTTCTGGCCTATTACTCAATGCCACGATTCCTCGGGGACCAGCAGCTACACCCCTCAGGTAGATGTTGTGAGAGCCGGTGACTGGACCAAAATCCCAATATCAAGCGTTGTGGTGGGAGATATTGTTTTCCTGAAACCTGGGGATCAAGTTCCAGGTGATGCATTGTTCATAGATGGGAGCTCATTACATCTGGAGAACTTAATCAATGTTAATGGAAGATCAGAGTGCGTAGAAGTTGGACATGAGAACAAGAATCCGTTTTTGTTCTCGGGTAGTATGGTAGTTGATGGCTATGCTAGGATTGTTGTTACGGCAGATGGGAAAAACAAAAGAAACCATCAACAAGTGATATGGATGGAGGGAAAGCATGCAGACGAGTTATTGAACCTTACCACTGTAGTTGGTAAGTTAGGTCAAGCAGTTGCCTTCGCAACATTTTTCTTGTTTTTGTGTCGTTTCTTTGCTGGAAATGTTTACCATGATGACAAGAAGGGAAATAAGGCCTTATTAGGTGACGAAAAGGTGGGGATTTGGGATCATTTGCTTGCTTTTGTGGGAATCCTAGCAGCTCCTGCTTTGATTGCTCTGACATCAGGGCTGGAAGGTTTGGTTTTGGCTGTAAAAATCACTCTAGCATATTCCCTGAGGAAGTTGATGCATGCCAAAGTTCTAGTTAAAAAGCCTTCTCTGTGTCATTCAGTTGCTTCAGTTGACACCATCTGTTTAAATAAAACTGGAACATTGACGGCATACTTCGCAGAGGTAACGTGGTTTCTCATTCATTATCCATCATGACTTTGTACAATAATTGATGATAGGGCTAGTTTCGCTTTGCAGCTCTACTTTGTATCTAAAACTTCTATTTTTAGACACTTCTGCTACCTAGTCTCCCTGATTTGTCTTACTCTTACTCAAGTCCTATTGATAATAACTTGAGCAAGTTAACAGAATAGAAGATCGTGCAGACAATTTCTATTGTTTTTTGGGTGGAAGTGGTTCCTTTCTGGGGGAGGGGTGCTCAATGTTTCTCATATATTAGTAGCTTGACTTAAAAAGCAGCCATATATAGATTATAGAGATCGTTTTCTGGAATACTTCACAAATCTTAAGAGTAAATATTTTGTCTGTTTTCGTTTGAATCCTTGCAATATTCCAGCAACAAGTCAAAGACTAATATAATTTTTTCGTTTTCCAAAACTAGGTGAAAAAGTTCTGGCTGGGTCTAAGTTCCATTGAAGAAGCACCTCACAATCTGATTGCACCAAACGTTCTTGAATTACTGCATCAAGCCATTGGTTTAAACACAATTCAGCCTCGTTCTGCAAATTCTACATTTGCACCTCCAATATGTTCAACTGAAGCGGCGATTTCTGACTGGGCTGTTCGGCATTTCGGTATGGACAAAGAAAATCTGAGGCAAAGCTGCACAATTCTTGTCATTGAACCCTTCAACTCAGCCAACAAAAGGAGTGGAGTCTTGATCAGCAAAAACAATGACAACACGATTCATGTGCACAGAAAAGGGGCAGCTGATGTGATTTTGCCAATGTGTTCTCATTACTATGAGACCACTGGCATTGTGAATGTGATTAATAAAACTACAAGAGCATTATTGGAGCAAATACTCGAAGGAATGACAAAAAATGGCTTTAGATGCATTGCGTTTGCCCACCGGAAGACATCGATAGAAGAGTACTTCAACTTCTCTAAGCAACAATTAACGTTATTAGGCCTTGTTGGGCTTAAAAATCCATTAAGGAATGGGGTTAAAAGAGTTGTAAAAGATTGTCAGCGAGCCGGGATAAACTTAAAATTGCTCACAGGAGACAACATTCTGACAGCAACAGTCGTAGCTTCTCGAAGTGGCATACTTGAGCCTAATAACCAGCCTGGAGAAATAATTGAAGGAGAAGAGTTTCGAAACTACACTTCAGAAGAAAGAATCGAGAAACTGGATACTATTCGTGTTGTGGCAGGAGCTACTCCTTTTGATAAGTTCCTTATGGTTCAATCCTTGAAAAAGAAAGGCAATGTGGTTGCATATCTAGGCCGAGGATTGGGGGATGTTCAAGCACTAAGAGAAGCAGATGTTGGACTGTGTTTTGGAACTCAGGGTGGCACAGAAATCCTCAAGGCATGCTCAAATATTGTAATCCAGAAGAAAGATTTGTCCATTGTTTTTGACATTTTGAGATGGGGAAGGGGATTCTATGTTAGCATCCAAATATATACTCAATTCCTCATCACAGCAACTCTTGTTGATCTGGTGGTGGACTTTGTGATGTCCATTTTTCCTAGTGATCCCCCGGATTTTGATGCTATGGCAGTCATTTCTTCAGGTAAAATACCATATCCAGTTTTTCAACTTCTGTGGGTCAAGCTAATTCTGGGATTCTTTGCTGCTATTTCTCTGATAATTAAACAGCCCTCTGAAGAGCTCATGTCCAAGCCACCGAGGGATCGAGACGAACCATTGATGAATGATGTTATGCAAAGAAGCATGAGTGCACAGGCGATATATCAGATTGCAGTATTGCTGGCCATCCATTTTAAAGGCCAATCAATTCTGAAAGTTAATGTGAATGAGAAGAATACTCTGATCTTCACGACCTATGTTCTGTGCCAAGTTTCCACAGTGGTCAATGCCAGGCTTTTTGAAGAGAAGAAAATTTTTCAGGAGATGCACAACAAGAAATGCTTCTGGGGAATCATAGGCCTCATCGTTCTCCTCCAAGTAATGTTGGTAGAAGTTTTGAAGAACCTTGCAGGTACTGCTGGGTTGGATTGTAGGCAATGGGGCATATGTATCTTGATTGCTACTGCATCTACTCCACTCAGCTGGCTGCTTAAGTATGCAACTGCCATGAGGATACCATTTCTGACCAATGTCAGAGGAACAAATCCGAAGGCCAAAATCGATTAGTCGTATGGCTGAAGTTTGATTGAAGCTGGTTAGTTGTACAAATGTAGGCTCTGTATATGCGTTTATAAAGCTCTGATTTTCCTTTTGATAATTGATAAATCTGCGTCATTCAAAAATTGGCATAATTCCTCTACTTTGCATCTTCTACTTTCCATTCTTGGGCTGTGCAAATTGTTGCATGTGATCTAGTATACCTCAATGCAAGGAATTCAATTATGAACAAAAATTAGTTGTCAAGTCAATTGCTCAGATGAACATAATACGTCAAATTCATAAGAAATTTAACAAAAGAAGCAAACTAAAACAAACAGCACGAAACAGCAGTTTCCTTCAATTATTCAATGGACAACACATAAATCATTCTGAAAATTTCAATGGGCTCAAGTGTTGAAACAGAGATGGTTTTATACCCATATTTATGTAATTTAAGATTGGAATGTTGATAAATCCTGCTGCTGATCATACATTAGTCATCTAGCTAGCACAAAAGAAAGCTCAGGGATGAAATGTACAATATTTCAAGTTGTACCTTTATTTATTTATTTATTTTTTTGGGGCAAATTTTCAAGTTGTGCTACTAATTACTTGAAAATTTGAAAAGGAAACAACTGCCTGAAATGATGCCGTTTGGAAGTTCAACTGCCAATTGAAATGACCCAATGATGATCATCCACGAGTCTAGTTTGTAGTCCAAGACAACCCCTTTGTTTCCGGGCTATTTATGTGCAGGCATGCATTCCTTTTTGGGTCTGATAATCTTACATAAAAGATATACAGAGAGAGTAAGCAAAGAGAGAGCGATCCGGAGTGTGTAAAGAAGAGAGGAAAATTGTGGACAATTTCTTGCCATTTTTTCGCCAATGACAGACACCACCAAAAACATCTCCACAACAATGGAGAATAATACTGCAACCAAATCTAATGAGAATAACAGTACTAAGGATCAGAATCAGAAGAAGAACAGGATTCAAGTGTCCAATACCAAGAGGCCCCTCTTCTTCTACCTTAATCTCGCCAAGGTTTTTTTTTTTTTTTTGGTGGCTTTCCCTTTCATTGAAATATTCTTTTCTATGTTGTTTTCACCATTGTGTTCTATTTGCATGCATGCATGCACGACCGTGTACCATTTTTTCTTATTTTGGCTCTCTCAGTTCTTCTATTAATCGGGACAAAGATCTTTGTTTCGTGAATGTATAATGTGAGTTGTTTACCATCATTCCATTGATGTGATCTTGCTTTCTTGGTCCATTTTTTTCCTTTACTATATATGTCTTGATATTATGAAATCCTTTTTCTGTGTCATGAGTAATCGTTTTCTATGTGATACTTATATGCTTTTCTGAGTCTAAAATTGGTGATCTTCCTTTCGTTTTGAAGGGCTTTCGAGTAAAAGAAGAAACATAAGCCCATTCCCTTTCATTTCTCTTCCTCTTGTTACAGATGTTAATTGCTCTGCAATCCCACTAAAGGTGTTTGATAAACTTTTTTAAGCAATCCCACAAAAGATTTTAATCCTTGATGTAGCCATTGTTTTCCGTTTAATCTTATTGGGCAAACGCTCATTTTCCCATTACACTGGATGTGTTAATTATTGAAGAACATTAGCATTGCTTTCGTGGAGCAGAAATTCTACAAATTCATACATTTGTTGATTCAAATTTTTGCAGAGATACCTGAAGCAGCATGATGAGGTTGAGCTTTCTGCGTTGGGAATGGGTATGTATTATCTATCTACTTCCCTTTTACTTAAATCGTCAGTTAATTTACATCATCAATCAATAATGCTTTTATTAAGAACATAAACTCAAAAAAAAGGAATCACTACACTACATGGTTTCATTTGGTTTTGGTGTCTCAGATGAAAATTTAATTATCAGGAAACAAATTTCCAGAGTTAGATTAATACTGTATCCTATGCATCATACTAATATTAGACAGGAATAATTGCCAAACCCTGTGTTTATCTGTACATGGCTACTGCAGCAATCCCCACTGTTGTCATAATTGCTGAGATTTTGAAGAGAAACGGATTAGCTACCAACCAAAGTACGTAAGAGGCTCTGTCCCAACTCTGTGCAGTAGATGATGATCTGATCTTTTTAGTCGTATGTAATCTTTGATCTTCTGTGTCTTATCACTGTAAAACAGAGGTTATGATATCTACGGTGGGCAGCAATGCTGAATCAAATGGTCGCTTTGTTAGAAAGGCCAGGGTTAGTATGTCTCTTCATACCAGACAATAGAGTGAATTTTTTTGGAAAAAATGTTTTTTTTTTTGTTTGCCAATGATGACATATCTCTTTTCATGTGCTGACAGATTGAAATAGTATTGGAGAAGGCCAAGAATGCAGAAACCTAAGGCTGCTGTTGACCACAAATTTCTAAAAGAAAAGGATGAAAAAAAAACAAGTCCTTTGCCATTGTAGCGTAGGATATTTAATGTTAGGTTGTAGATTGGTAGGTAGTTTATTTAAGTCCGACTGCTGTTTAATTGCTCGATCTGTATGGAAGGGGAAGTTATTTGTTGGAAGCATATCCCAATTGGATGGATAGACTTAGAATTATATCCCCAACCCCTCAACCCATTGTTCACATCAAACTTAATCCAGTGGCTGGCTTGGCCTATAATTTTACTTTCTCTACATCAAGTTTCCATTCTGAGATCTCTAGCTATTGATTTAGAAGCTTGAAGCTCAAAAGCCTGGAAATGGAAGTAGAAAAAGAAAATGCTTTGCTGCTACTGCCTTGATGTCTTAAATCATCATGTGCCAGTTTTGACTGATTAATGTGTCTTGATGAAAGTTAGAAAAGGAAATGATATGCACAAGAAATATTACATTATTCCAAGATTTCAAGTATTAGATGCCATATATACTTCAGATACACATTATTTGATGCCAGAAGACGAAACTACAGCTGAAGACATCAAGAGAGGGACAATTTGGCTAGCGTTAGTGCTAAAACTTTGACCCCGTCAGCAATGTGGTCGATGGTTGCAAATTCTTCAGGCTTGTGACTATAGCCTGCAAAGAAATAAAGACGAGAGAGATGATATTGGACAGGATGCAAAGGAATACTGCGGTATCAGCTACTGACAGGACGAAAAGGCCTACCTTTATAACATGGTATAAATATCATGCCCATTGGACTTACTCTGCAAGAGTAACATTTATGTTAACTAGTGCTTACGGCAATCAACAAAAGCGAAGTTTTCAACTTCAGTTTTGGCACAACAGCAAGATATTGAAGTAAAGATGACTAAATGAGTCTATAATTCAGTCAATCTTTTGCATTTGTAACTACGAATCAAATGTAATTTTTGTAACTTTGATGCTTGCTAAGGATTTGCGGTTACCTCGCCATGAACAGTGCATCATGATAGGCTCTACTAATCATCTTCTTGTATGTCAACTCCAGCTCTTGGCTTGCTGATTCTGCTGCCTTAATTATTAACTCATCAGAGAGGGCAGGGGGATCTTGATTCACGATTTTGTATTCCGACAGCTTCACACCGCGCCTCTTAGATATACTTAAAGCAGATTCATAAATTTTATCAATGACAGAATTTCTCCGTTCTTCGTCAATGTCACGTGTATCTGCAAAACCAGTTATTTAAGTAGATAGAGGTATTCATCTTTCATTTTCTTTTCCATTATTTCCTATACATTTATGGGAATCGTGCTAATCAGCAACAGCATTCAGAAATACTAATATCCAGAAAAAGCAAATAATAGTTTATGGTCTGAAACTGGCTCCCATTACTTTCATCAAGGAGCTTACCTATTTCCAGGTGTGATTTGCTTGGAATGCTGTTAATTGCTCCAGGATGAAGCTCCAGAATACCTTTTGAAACATAAGAAATGTAGTAAGAATTTAAATTGACACGTAGAACCAAAGACCTTTTTGGTTTTTCTAAGAGGAAGATTTAGTATACATGGGATTTCTATGCGTTGATTGCAGTGAGAAACGGAAGGAACCAACTGCTCTATTTGAATTAGGCTAAATTTACAAAAAGTTTTTCATGCTTGCTGATGGAAATTCTTGGCTGTCAAAACAAGAAATAGCACAGAGGGCCTTCCCTCTTGCTGACCAAAAAAATAAAATACAGGCTTACCAACTGTCCCAACAGTATCAATAGAGCCAGACTCCAAGACATGTTTCTCCACAGCAAGTGCCAGCTCTGCAGCAGCCAGTCCTGCATCATTCCTGCTCCAAATAGTTCGTAGAAGGAACTATGAGGAAAATAAAGGAACAAGAGAATGTAATAGCAAACATGCGAAAGAAAAGGGAAAGCATGAATTGCACTAAAACCTTCGACCAGAAAAAGCTTCTCTTGTCGATGCTACGTGTAAAATCTCAAAGACAGACAACAATCTTACCATTCACTTCAAGAAATGGCAGTTGGAAATTACTAAGACCAGTAAAGCAAAGTGACACTAACTTAAATTCTTTCTGAGATTGAAAGAGGACAATAAAATGACTACCCTCACAGGTCAAGTCGATGCAATCTAATTCGTAAATCTCATCTCCAGGATGAGCCAAGTTTCACTTCCCATTCACTTCTTGTCCACAATGTTATCCAATAATTTTTGTACAGCCATACTACATAGCACAAGGATGTTTATTTAAGAGAAACATGCCAGGTACCAGAATGGAAAACCCAGGCCACTTTGGGTCAAGTCTATATACCTTTTTGGCATCAGAACAGCTCCTGCATGCCCCCCAGTGCCCTCAAAGTCCACTTTGATACTTGCAGGAGCAGCAATAGCAGTCACAATACCAATAGATGTTGCTAAAATCATCATGAAACAGACAGAGATCAGGAAGATATTTCTCCTTCATTCAAGTTAATAGTATGAGAAAGAAGAATATGTGAACCAGGTTACCTTCTTCTTCAAGAATAGGACCTTGCTCTATATGCAATTCTACAAAAGCAGAATAGCTTCCCTTCTCCAGAAAGACAGTGGATAACTTCTCCACATTCATGTAACCTGCAGATTTAGCTGCATAAAAGAAGGAAACATTTTGACCATCAACTGTCTTTTCAAGCTGTTGTGCAAGTTCCTTGCTTCCTGCCAATAAACGGCTGCAAATTTTAGATATATTAGAAACCCTAAGCTAGGAGCTTCATAACACTTCAAGGTTTGCAAAATCTGTAGCGTTGGAACTGAATTCTGTTCTAACCTTCCTAAACAGCCGATTCCAAATCTTGTAGGCTCTTCTGAAGTAAACATAATCACGTCCAACGACCTTTTAGGTTTAAAGCTAGAGCTGTAAAAGCCAACCAATAAACAGCAAAACTTAGACAAAAGCAGCCAATGGACATTGGATCAGCAGAAAACACAAATAGATTTCCAACAGCCAAAAGCAGTAAAGGTAAAGATGTGACATCTTTTCACAAGAATGCCAGCAAGATACGTGTTCTTAGCATAATATATGTGGCCATATGGTCTTACTACAAACCAACACCCAAAATTTTGGCACTCCAAAGCAGTTACATGATCTAAAACTTCCATATACTATGACCTCGTTCTGATATCACAACGTCTATTGCAAACTTCGCAAGGTATTCCCCTGCAACCAACTCAGGTATACTACTTTGCAATCAGCTAACAGTTTTGACCTTATTAAACTCGGTCCTATTCAATAATACACGATCAGCTGAACCAATCCTGGGAAAATCTTGGAACTCATGCAACAAGAATTCTGCATTCAAGCATGAACATTCCATTTAGATAAGTTTTCTAGTAAAGCCATTGCTGTTTTTCTGGTTCCTCTGTTCTTTTGTCATTAACAGAGACAATGAAAGTTCCCCAAAGCAGACATACATACAACAAATCTTTATTATGATATGGCCAGTGCTTATAATTCATGTTCCTCAAAAAATTCGCATAAAAGCTAAGACCACGTCAGAAAACTTAAAAATCCAGCATTCTGGGAGATTTCATGATTTAAGCTTTACTTAGGAGATACTATTTTGTGCATTTGCACGGTTTTCTAAATTTTCATAATAGAGGTTGGATCCATTTTTGATTTTTTTGAAATTTTTTTCAGCAGCGGAGGGGTGGGACTTGAGAAGAGGGGAGGGGGCAGAGGGGATTTGAACCCAGGACCTCCAATGCCTAGGACCTCAACCTATAAAGGATGGATCCTTGGCAATGCTTTAATTGAAGAAAAGAATACAAAGGACTTGACATTTCCTTACACATAACTTTTAGCCAACACCTCCCAATAAATCAAAAGCAAGCCAAAGATGTACTGATGCAGCCAAGTATAGAGATCTTGAAATTTGGGCCATGTTACAGTTTAAGAACACAAGAGAGCTAACAAGAGTCAGTCAAGCCAATTTAGTCTGCATACCGCTTTAGAACATTGATGGCTTCTATTGCACCCAACACGCCAACCACCCCATCATATTTCCCAGAATATGGTATTGCATCAGTATGAGAACCTGTTGAAACTGGAGCAAGCTCAGGTTCGGAACCAGTCCTACAAAATATCAAATGACAATTTGGCGGCTTAAAGTCATACCAATAACAGCATACGAGATGACAAGGGATTATTACAAAAGCAATTTTCAATCAGGTTAAAATTTTTTTACATTAACATCCAACGTCATTCTGCAAAATTGAGAATTCTTCTTCTTAAATCATCACTTCACCCTATAAATATGAAGTTTGGAGTTGATGATGCTTAAAGTTCAAATTTTGGAACTTAACATCACCAATATAATTTCAATTATACAATTTTTGAAGTGATTTCATCTTTTATTGCTTTAAATATTGTCAGTGCCAACTATTCTTTCTTATGGACCATAATTCACCAAATACTCACAGATAATCTTTTTAAATAGTTCAAAAGTTATTCAATCACTTTTTGAATTTTCAGTACCTTCTCTTAAAAAAAAAAAGTTACAAAAAGAGATCAATTGGAAATAAATGTCTCTTTCAACATTACAAATGGTAAAAGGGATTCCAGAAGTTTGCTTTTCGCATCGATAATACCATTGTATCCTACAGCTCAGAATGAGGAAAAAGTGGAAGAAATGTATGGCTGTAGTTGTACAAGGATTTACTTCAACTTTGGATTTGCCTAAAAGGCGTACAAAAGTAAACATCAATGCACAGGAAAGACAATGATGAAAGATGATGACAAAAGAATTGAGACCTGTAATGTCTAACTTATCTAAAAGCATTTCCCACAAAGTGAGATATGTATTGTCTGACTTTTCTATAAACTAATGAAACTAACCCATGCGTTGGCTATGCAATAAAGCAAGATTTTGAAAAGACAAGGTATTAGCTTTACACTTCACAATCATCCAATTGAGTCCTCATGCATAACATTGGTCTATTGACTGAGATGTTCTCCTGTAAATGGGATTACCAGGAGAACAAAGTTGTAACTCACCACCGACCAAAGATGTTCCCAATAGCATCCTCCCTGACAGAAAGACCTGAGGCTTCCATAAGGTTTTTAATATACCTGCATGGCCAAATAACTATGTTATATTCTGGCAGTCAACCACCTTTTCTATGAATGGCAAGAGGTAGACAAGACAATTCTAGAGACTCATTCCGCTATACTCTACAATCTCAGTTTTACCTTACATGAAAGGAGGTCACAGAAAAATATACGTCGACAGACAAACAGGTTCTTGAGAGAGTAAGACAAGGCATTGGAAAATACACTTATCAAACAATCAATCATTTAAGAAGCAATAGATGTTCAATTAAGGAGATCACCTCAAGCTGTAGTGTTTAACTGTTAATTGCAATCAAAATGGCCAGATAAGCTTCTGATTTTACCTTCTTGATAATACATCCTTCTCACTGTACAGGATCCTAGTAACCGATGGTGCAGGTGAATCCGAGAAACTTGAAAGCTCATCAATCTTAAAAAAAAAAACATAAGTATATTGTAAATTCTATTTCTCTCAGAAACAACCAAGCACATGTGCACGGCTATGCTTGCATTACGAATCTAACATAGGGAATTCAGGATACTGATGACAATAGGCAGTTACCAATTCCTTGGTTTTTGCAAGAAATAGCAGAAAGAATCAAAATTCAAACATTTACAGATGATCCACATAACTCAAGCTAAGAAAAACTCCATCTTTCACTTTTCATATAACATCCATCAGAACCGCTTGATTCCAAATTGAGTGCCACCACTAAAACATCTACTGCACATAGTCAGACATACACGTGAATGCACTAGCACCTAAGATTACAGATACATCGCTTTTGGTTTGCAAAAATGAAGTAAAGCATCTTACATCCTTCAAAATTCAATCTTTATCCTACATAAGCAGTCAAACAAGTATCGCCTTTATCATACATAAAACAGCAGTTCAAAAGAAAAAAAAATTTCTAGCGTATAACTTAGTGTACTCTTTCAGAAACAGATTTTGCATAAAAGCTAAATAAGAAAATAAGAATATAACTTTACCCGGATTGAGAATCCTTTGTGGATATCAAAGGGACTCCAGTTTTAGCATTAAAAAAAAAACAGAATCCAGTCGGATATCATTGATGAACTAAAGTTTACAAAAAACCCACAAGTCAAATACAATCTTTGCAAAACTTAGAACAACTCAGAAGACAAAAAATGATTGAAATTTCGTATCTGGGATTTCTTGTACATACCTGCTTCTGCAGAGTTTCAGCGTCCACTGAGAGTGAAGATAGGGAGTTTAAGAAGTGGGATTCGTGAATTGGGTAGCCAGAGAACTCCTCCATAGTCTTGATTGTAGGGTCATCTTCATTTCTGTGAGCTAAATTTACAGGGCAATTTGAGATGAAATATACTGAAAGAACAAGAAGCATGTAGATAGAGAATCTCATAGCCATGATTTTCATGGTATGGATAATTGCTTGTTTGTTATCCGTGGATTCCTAGACTGCTGTGTATAGTGTTATCTGGCTTGGACGTATTTATCATGCTTGATACATAGTGGAGTGCTTTCTAGGATTTGGATTTTAGCGTGCCGTTTTGGGAGCTGCCTCTGCAACGAAAAAGGAAAACACATGTTTAGATTGTGGAGTAACACGTAGAGCCACCGATGAACGGCATAGGTCTTTTTTTTTTTTTTTGCTGCCCCCGCCAAACGGATGCTTCTATCCACACCCTGTGCCCACGTGTGCACATTTTTCATTATATTGGTTATTCTCTTCTCAAAACATTATGTTTTAATTCTTTTTGTTTTCTTCTAAGATCCCAATAACTATTATTAGTAAAAATTAAATAAACAGATTTCAAAAGTAGATTATATAGAAATCAAAATACGCGGCAGAAAATGCATAAAAAATTGAGATTTTTTATGCATTTTTATTTTTTTTGGTTTTGTTTAAATTTTTGTATTCTTCATATAGTTATTAATCTTAAGAAAACAAAAAAGTATTTTAAACATGATGTTTATGAAGGAGAACTGGCCAATTAATAAAAATGGCGACAGAGGAATGACACAAGATGTGCGGACCGCAAGATCCGTTGCTGCGCTTTATCCCCTTTAAAAAAAAGACAAAATAAAATGAGTTAGGTGCCTTGCTGGAGAGTTGGACACGGGCCGCGCCACGACAGCTACGGCCAAACGCACGTGTCAGAAAATCGGGTCGATTTTGTGTAAAATACATAAGATGTAATTTTCTATGCATATAGTATAATTCATTTTTAACAACATGTAATTATAAAATAAAATTTTATGAGTCCCATGCATAGTACGAAAAACAATATACAAGACGTGCTCTCAATCTTATATATATATTTTTAGCCAAATCTTGACAATGAATATTCAAGAACGATTGCTTTCTGCGACCATTTCTGTCCTCTTTCCAGAGAGAGGGACAAGTAAGGTTAGGTTCTAGTATTTGAGATAAAAGTGATGTACATGAGTAAAATGTTTGATATATATATATATATATATATATATATATATATATTAATAATACATATGATATATTTATACACAAAAAAATTTAAACATGTATAACGGCTCAACAAAATCTCATCAAATACAATTGTATGAAATTTTTGTCCTTGTGGACTTACTCAATTCAGAGCGATAGCGTGAATCTTTTTTCTAATAAACATTATTATTAAAAGTAGTAGTATTATGTTAATCCAATTGCAAAACATCCAAATCATGATGATGTCTTGTTGAAAAATCGTTAGAGAGAGAGGACCAATTTCCTGCCTTTCCTTCATTTCAAGCTAGAGTCTACATCCTTACAAAAATTGTAAAATTATAATTTGACTCCATTTCTATTCCTTGACTAGAGTACTAAAAAAATATAAATAGAAAAGTACTATATCTTAAAGTCAAAATTCCTTTTTTTTTTTTTTCTTTTACATAAATTGCAAACGGTTTATAATAAGGCGGGAAGTCCTTCTTGCTCCGAGAAAGCTTCACCGAGACACTTCCCTCAAGTTCCAATGGATGACTACCCCAGACACACTTGCCTGAAGCTAGAAATCCCAATCCGAAGCAATGATTCGGAGCCCCGAGAGGCCTCCGAATCCATCTTCGTCAAAGGCACATGGTACCCCGCCCGCTTCGACCTCGCCATCACCGACGGCCGCGACGCCTGGATTTGCAACGGTAATTAGTATGAAAATGATCAATTAGTCCTGCAATATCAAGTTTAATTTATCATTAATTGCAGCGATTTTTTTTTTTTGTTTTGGTTTTCGTTGAATGATTAAAGCATCGGAGGAGGAGGTGAAAGAGAGGGCGTCTCAGTGGGACCAACCGGTGTCGGAGTACAATGATTTAGCTGAGAAATACTTGGGGCTTCAACAACCCGGCTCCGTTTATGGCTTCTCGGATGCTGGTAGCGGTTTCAAAAGGGTCCGTTTTTATTCGTTTAGTTAAAATTACTATCTGAGATTTACAAGTCTATTAACTTATATAAGGCCCTTTGCTCAATGATGTGAAATTGTTTGTGAAAATTGAGAGTTTTGTGCTTGAAACTTAAACATGGGGAAGACTTTAATTGGGGGTTTTTTTAAAATGCTTAACTGAAAGTTGAAATTTTTATCATTTTCAAAAAAAAAAAAAAAAATCCCTTGTTAGATGATAATTAGTTGAAAATTCAGGGAAATTGTATGTTGAAAGCTGGAATTTTTGTCCTGTTAGACAACTTGCATAATCTGAAAAATGATACTCTGTTGGTTTTTAATGAGAAAGGCTAAATCTTTTGCTACTGCTGTCCTTTCTATTGTGTAGTATATAAATTTCTGCTAGTTTTGAATTTTCGATGTTTATTTGTGTTTGTGATGTACTATGTAGTTAACATGGACATTTGAGAAGGAAGGGACGAAGCTGGAGTGGCGATGGAAGTGTCAACCATCACCAAATAGTAAGAAAACCACAGCAGATATCTTGGATTTTCTGATGGATGCAAATATACGGCTGAGTGTAAGATTCTTGTTATAGCCTAGTTATCTTAACCAAGCTTATGACTTCTTGCTTTGTGGATAAAGCTGTGCGAAGGGTACCCCTTTGTAATTTTTTTCTGTTCCACTAACTATATGGTTCATGATCTTTTTGTAATAGGAGGAAGTTGTCAGGAAAACTGACTTATTTGAAAGGATAAAATTGGAAGCTGAAAAATGTCTAGCTCAAAGTGAGAAACTCAGTCTTGAGAAGGCAGAATTTGAAAATGAAATCTACGCAAAGGTTTGTTTCTAATATAACCACCTTTGCTTTGCCCTTCCAGTTTTAAATTGGTGCTTAGTGCATGGATACTTGTGTGGTTATTCTTTTGCCTGTCATATCTGATAAGTTGCACCACACACGTACCCCTTCATTCATTCTTGCCTTGAGAGTAACAATTATGAACAGATGACCTTCCTGCTGCCTTGCGTTCAGTATGGTAATAATTTTTTTTCCCTTTAGGAAGTTTATGCAAAACTAATACTTGAGAAATAGTCAGAGAATGCTTATTTTAAGAAGGTAAAATCTGAAATGGTTTAAGAATAAACAAACAACGGCAGTAATGGAAACTCTTTCTACATGTCCATTAACCAAAAGAGAATACCTATTCTAAATGCCATGTTCCCAGATGGCATTTGAATAGATCCAGTTCACTTGTTTCTGTTGTCTATAGCAAACACAATCTGTGGGAGTCTGTATATTCTTCCACAAAAGCCATCCTTTTCATGTGGCTGAGCAAAAATGAGGCCTGAAGCGATCCTGACCTCCTATAAATAGCTCATACCAATTGTGTTAGGCTTTATTGGCAGTTACAAAGGAATGCAACATAGTTTGATTTCTTTCATTTTGCTGATTATGATTTGTGTATGATTAAAAAAAAAAAAAGCGCATGCGTTTCTGTGTGATATGATCAGATGTTCCTAAACAATGTTGGTGATGTTATAGCCTCTTTCTGTGTCACAGTTTCTGGGAGTTCTGAACTCAAAGAAAGGGAAACTCAGAGAGCTTCGTGATCGGCTCTCAAAACAGAAGATGGCTGAACCAGAAGAAGAGGAGCAGCAACAATCGACTGACAAAACTGAGAGTTTTGATGAAAGAAGTGATGAAGACAAATCAGAGGAAGAGGCTGGGACTTCTAAGGATGCTCCAGCCAGTAAATCAGTCGCTGCTCCAGCCAGCAGGTCTCGTGGTAGAAAGAGGAAGTAGATGTGTGTGTGACAAAATTCAGCATGCACAGCAAGTCTCCTTTTTCCCCCCTTCTCTTTTACGTGAGATATGTTTATCAGGAGACTGAAGCTCCTGTTGTAAATATTTGTGATCCTTTCACTGGGTTAGTGTGCTCGAGGCATTTTTCAAGATTCAGCTGGTAAACCTCACAGTTATGACTTCATAACCAATTTTTCTACGATAGTCTCTCATTGAATTGCGTTTGATCTTTCCTATGCTATTCAGCTGGAAGGAATAATTGCAAATTAGAGGATTTCCCTTCTAATATTGAATGTTGTAATCTTCCTTGCTGAGTAATTACTGAGAACATGCTTTTGAACAATCTAATGGGCCTCAATTCATGGAAACTGAAAATTTTAAAAACTACGCTTATTTGGAAATAAGGTAAATTTGATCAATAGAATCATTTTGATTTTTCAAGATTCACTAGTTATGATCCATGAGAATTATAAAATCAATTGCAAATAAGAATGACTTCATCTAGAGTTTGATCATTAAACATTTTAGAGCTTTCTAAAATATCTTCTTCTATTAGTCTAACAACTCGTGCATGGTTAAAATAAACATTTTTTGAACATTAAGAAATAAAAGCAGTATCTGTGAGAATATAAATTTATAACAAATGTTTGGATAATTCGCCACAATTTAATATATTAAACACCAAGTAATTTCCAATAGCAGTCAAAAAGTATTACTTAATAAATATTTTTTTGAGATATATTAAACTACGTGTTTTACAATTTATTCATATTTACACGGTAGACCAATTGATGCACAAGGTTGCTCGGGTTTGGTGATGAGATGTGTTTTCCGAACTATAAATTATGAACCTAATGAGTTTGGGAAGAATCGTTCAAAATATTTATCACATTTCATCGAAATTAATTTTTTCATCTTTCACTCTTAAAATATTAATTTTGTGTCTTAACAAAATTTTGTCCAAATTAAAATTTGTCCTTCACTTTTTGAAATATCCAATCACTATTCCTAACTCCGCTGCACTCCCCATTTTATTAGGATTAGGATTAGGATTAGTAGTATTTAGCCCGTTTAAAAGATAGGATAGCCTATTTCGCAAGAGCGCGTCTCTGGAAAGAAGGCAAAAACGCAGTCGTTTTACGTAGGGTCGGATCCAAGTTCGATCCAAACAACTCAGCTCAGGCGCCCGAATGACGTTTTCTGTATCCTCCTAATTCTATACATCTCCATAATCCCTATAATCTCACAAGCTGTAAGATTTTGTGGTCCATCTTCCGAGTCCTTCCACCAACTGTTTGAAGTCCTGAATTTTGTTGTAGCGATAAAAGGA